GTAAACTTCTTCGCCGCGTCAATTTGCAGTTGCAGTCCCTCAGGGGTGTCCGACACACCGACAAAATTATCCGCAAACGGCATTCCTGACACCGAAGTTTCCGTGTCCCCTACTTTTACTCCCTTCCGGACTGCCTCTACGACTTCCAACAGATCGTTGATGAACACCTGGAATAATGTTGTCGAAGCACTTAGACAGTTCTCCGTGTAGCATGANCCCTTGATCCCGTACTTGGACAGTTGTTTCCACAGCCCATTTCTCCATACTTGTACGGTATTGTATACCTTTTTTACGCCCAGGAAGAAGCAGTACGTGGGCTTTCCCGCCNTTGGACAGTTGTTTCCACAGCCCATTTCTCCATACGGTATCGGATGCCTTTTTCACGCCCAGGAAGAAGCAGTACGTGGGCTTTCCCGCCCTCTTTCTACCTTGGATGATTCTCCCTACCGTGAATGCGTGGTCTACGCACCCCCTCTTCTTGCGGAAACCTGCCTGGCCCTCACTAATGCTATGTTCCTTCTCCAATACTCCCACTATCCTATCGTTCAGCAGCGTACAGAACACTTTTCCTACTGTGTTCAACAGTGTGATCCCCTTGTAGTTTCCTGGGTCAGTCTCGTCTTCGTTCTTTAACAAGTTCACAACTACTCCTTCCCTCCATCTACTCGGCGCATACTCGCTTTTCCACACCCAGTTGTACAGCAGTACCATCAGCTGGATCATCCCCTCCCCCCCAAACTTCATGAACTCGTTGACTATCCCATCCGCTCCTGCTGCTTGATGGCACTGCAGCTTGTTCACACACGCCTCAACCTCGTCCTCGGTGAACTCCTTTATAGTACTACGTTCCCAACGTCTGCCTTCGATGTCTCTTCTTCGTTCTGGGCCCGAACGTCCACCTCCTTCTTGAACACTTGGCCAATAGCTTCATTCTCCGAGGGCACTCCAAGTCTCTTGTAGTGTCAAGCTAGGACTTCCCTTTTTCCCTTCCCACTGCTGATTAATCCACCGTTCACAACTCGCAAAGTTGCGACCCCTGTATCACCCCCTTGCGCGGCCTTTTTCCCTCCCCACATCTGCTCGACGTTCCCCTCCACGCCTTCAACACTGCTTCGTCCCAAATGCAGTTTCTTCTTTTTCAC